CTATGATGAAAATTACAGGCCTCTCTCCTCTTTTTAAGTGGGAGAACTTGCACAATTGGTGGCTGACTAAATACTTTTTTGCCCCACTGTAGCAGAGTAATTCTACTCAGAATTTTTCTTCATTATCAAACTATAGTGCTATGCCCTCAGCCTTGTTCTAGCAGAAAACTATAGAGGCGTGACATTTGCATTCCCCACTGTCAATCACTATCCTGCAAAATGTAATGGATTTTACACATTGTGAGGCTGTTCTTGGACAGTGTCAGAATAAGGGGGAAAAACTACTTTAACATTGATACAGCTAAGGATCATTTAAGCCTGTCTCACTTGGGCTGAGGATGAGATGAGGGAAGTATCATTGGGACATGGCAAAAGAAAGATGTTGCAAGTGTAAGTTTGTGGCAAGATTAGGTGCAAGTGGACAATCTCAGAAGCATGTCTTGATGGGCTTAATAAATTTTACCCATGGATATAAAATTCTGTTGTAAATTCTAAGAACTTTTATTTCCCATAGTAAAATAATATATAGGAAATACATCCCAACAGTCAAAATTAGTTATAAACCTCCTAGTGCCTATGCTCACAAAATGTTACTTTCTCACAGAACAGTGTAAATTCAAACTTCCAGATTGGGGGGACAGGAAAAAGAACAGATAGTCTCCATAAACAGACTTCAAATCTTTAATCATGGAAAATTATGTATAACATTTATATAGCTATACTTTGTTCTGGCCAATTATAGCTGCAGTTAAAGAGTCCTTTATGTAAGTAGAAATGCTTTCATTTTTATTTGCAGCATAAGTGAAGAGGAACAGTTCCAACTATTCCACTATAAACTATATATGACATTATCTGAAAGGCTCCCTTCAACCTCAGGTGAATATAAACGATGACCTGCAACATAAGGGGGGAGAGAACACTCTGTTATGCAAACATAACTCTGCTTTTAATTATTTAGATACTAACCACATGGTAAAACATTCCAGCTAGTGGTGGTCCTCCTATATATGCTTAAAAATAGAAACTATGGCAGTTTGCACTCTCTTCAATATTGAGCTGAACTTCCTGGCACATTCTCCTTCTATATAAAAGTAATAATTGTTGTATGCCACCCAGAGTCGCTTTGTGTGAGATGGGTGGCTATATAAATGTGATGAATGAATGAATGAATGCATGCAAGCAAACAACTACAATCTGTACTCATTCAGTGCAGGACTGGTGTTTCTGCTGGTGACTGGTGATAATACTGATAAAGTATCTGGTTGCCTGCCTCCTGCAGCAACCTCCTCAGCCCTGATCCCATTTTATTTTATTTTATTAGTTTCAATTTAATTCAGTGTAGTGGAATGAGTAGTGCTTTTAGTTAGCTAAAAAGAGAAAGATTCTCCTACCCATTGCCTTGCTTTTTAAAATAACCTCCTTTTTAGTCTAAAACATTTATCTTGGGTGAATGTTTAAGAACCTGACTCATCTCTCCCAGTAACTATAACATGGCATTAGGGAGTCAGAGTTTTCATGTATCTCTTTCTTGCCATTCAGTGGTCCCCACAGACTTTTACAACTTCACAGCTTGTAACTTCTGGATTTACTCTGAATTCTGTATTGACAGAACCTAAACTGGGAAAAAATTGTAGACACTTCTTTTAAACATCAGCCAGCCTACAATGAAGTGACATAATTTACTGAGTAAAATGTGCTTTACTCTGTACATATGACTAAACCACCTCAACATATTTCTGTTGTACTGATTAGTCACTTCCACATTAATTCATCATCAATTCATTCCTGACTCTATCTCTTCTTGTTTACTATGCACGCTTTTTAAGTAACCCATTCTTATTGCACTCAGCTTGCTTTTAGGTTTTCCCCAGTTATAACTTCCGTACAGCCAAGTGGCTAAAAATATGTTCTTATAGACAAGCCATTTCTTCTTTCACCACTCATTTCTCACAACAAACATATTACCCACTATGTTTTCACCAGGATTTGCACATATTAACATTTTATACCTATTTCCCCAACCTTAGTAAACATTCTATTTATATAAATTCATCTACAACAGTGAGAAAAAGTTTGTGAGTCTTTTAAAACTATTTGTAACCCTGCAGTACTATGACCTAAAATGTGATCAGAGCTTCATCTAAATCCTGCTAATGAAGTGATTTTGATTAAACAATGCCCAAAAACAGTGTACCATTTCATGTTTTTACTGAACACAATAAGCCAATATTCAGAGTCTTTATTTAGTAACTTTGGGTGGGGGTAGAAATATAATTAATTTCCTTCAGAATGTATGAGTGTATGTATGTATGTATGTATGTATGTGTGTGTGTGTGTATCCTTTAAATTTATTAATTGGTGGTACCTCCTTATTAGCAATGACTTAAACTAAACATTTCCTGTACCTGTTGATCATTCCTGTATTATCAGCTTGAAGTATTTTGGCCCATTCCCACTTTAACTCTGATATTTGTGGGCTGTCTTGTATGAACTGCTCATTTCAGGTCATGCTGCAACATTTCAATTGAGTTAAGATCGGAGCTTTGACCTAGCCATTCCAAGTTACAAAATTTCTTCTGCTTCAGCCATTCTGTTGTAGCTTTACTTGTGTGTTTAGGGTCATTGTTGTGCTGCATGACCCACATTTGTTTAAGCTTCAGTTCACAGATAGATACCCTGATAATCTCCAGTAGAATTTTCTGGTACAATCCAGTATCCATTGTTCTTTCAGTAATTGCAACTGTCTGGACTCTGAGACTGCAAATCAGCTCCAAACTATGTGCCATGTTTCAGAATTATGATTAGGTTCTTCTGTTGAAATGCAGTGTTTCATTTTCTGTAAATAGAACATTTCTCACTAATAATCCAAAGTCCTATTTTTGTTATAGCTATCCACAGAACATTGTTCCAGTAGTCTGCTGGATCATCCAAGTGGTCTTTGGCAAACCTGAGAGAGTAGCAATGTGCTTTCTGGAAAGCACTGGTCTCGTCCCGTGCACACCACTCTTGTTTTTCTCATGGTGAACTCATAAACATTATGACCTCAAACAATGCTAGAATGGCCTGCAAATCCTTTAGAATCACCCTGGGTTCTCTTAGACCTATTGGGATATTGTACATCTTGTTCTTGGGATATATTTTGTTCTCTATTTGTACACTACCTGCCTGACCTCGGACTGATGATAGCTGAAGTCTTTGACAATGGTTTTGTAATCCTTCCCTGCCTCATTGGCATTAACTCTTTTTTTCTGAGGCCCATGGGGAGCTTTTCTGATCAAGGAGTGATTCATTTCCACCAATCTGTTTCATGAAAAGTAGACTCCAGTGGTGATAACCAATATGCTTTTTTAACATGGAAGGTCCTCCCAAACTCACACCTAATTGCCATCTCAGTGACTGGAACATCTGATCCCCTTAAGAGATTTGATTATCCTAGAGTTTAAACTTAACAAAGTATGGTCAGAGACTCAGGGCTTCACATAGTTTTTCCAAAGAAGGAAGTGAATATTGACTCAATGTGTTTGATAAAGACATGACACAATGTACTGTTTTATGTTTTGTTGGTTTAACCAGAATATATTAACAGAATTTAGTTCTAAACAGTTCACAAACTGTATTTGCCCTAATTTCTGTCATTTATATATATATTTTAAATCATACACACCATTTTACCTGTCAGATAGAAGTATCTTGGTCTCTCATACAATTTTCAAATCTGTACTCTTCATTGCATTAAACAGTCTATTTAATATTCATTGCGAGTGATTCCTATTCTCAGCCAACAACATGGCATCATCCACATACCAAAAGCACTTAACATTTACTGCTGTAGCCAAAACACCTCTATTATCACCACAAGCATCCCTTATATATCCATCAGTACATTAAACAACCAATAGAACATCACACATTCTAGTCACCCTCAGCTCAGTGCTGAATTATTCACTAAGCATTCTATTTATTCTCATGCCTGCTTTACTTTCACCATATACAGGTAGTCCTCAACTTACAACCACAATAGGGACCGGAAAATTTGTTAAGTGGTGCAGTCGTTAAGCGAGGCATCACATGACCGCACCCAATTTCATGACATTTTTGCAGCGGTTGTTAAGCAAATCACCATGGTCGTTATGAGAAGCATGTGGTCATTAAGTGAATCACATGGTTCCCCATTGAATTTGCTTGTTGGAAGCCAGCTGGGAAAGTCACAAGACTATCACATGATCCTGGGACGCTGCAACCGCTGTAAATACAAGCTGGTTGCCAAGTGCCCTAATTTCAATCACAAGACTGCGGGGATGCTGTGATGGTTGTAAGTGCAAGGACTGGTTGTAAATCATGTTTTTCAGCACTGTTGTAACTTCAAACAGTTGCTAAATGAATGGTTGTAAGTCGAGGACTAACTGTATTACGTATTCAGAAAACTATTTCCTCAAAACATTCTGTAATGTTAAGCCTATTTACTTTACTCTGCATTTTCTTTGCTTCAAACTGTACAATAAACCTGCTTAGTTACAGATTTCTGAGTTACCTCCTGAAGTGCAAAAATCTGGTCTGGACAACCCCATGCCTGACATAATACTGAAACTGCAGTTCCCAAATTTTGCTAACTGTCACCTTTCATACCCTTTTTACCAGAGTTCTGCCAAGCACCTTCCCAGACATGCATAACAAATTAATGTTCTTGTAGCAACTTCTCTTGAATAGGGAGACAGTAACAGCAATGTTCCAATTGTCAGGAATCAATGCAATCTTGCACACATTAAATGTACAGTTATTCCATGAAACTGCCATATCCATATTTTAACATTTCTCTAAGTATACCAGTACATTTGTACTGTACATACACTATATACCAGTACTATAATTTTTCAATGTTTGCATATCACTTGTGAGTTTTCTTTGTTGGGGGGGCCACTAACATCTATGGCATTCATTTTAATTTCACTCTTCAATATCTCACTATCATTCTCTTATAGATCTCTCTTTAAAATATTCCTTTCAGTATTCCCTCACTTCAGTTTCATCCCAAAAATCATCTTATTATTTTATTCTTAACCTATTCATTCTTCTGGAGGTTTCTTCAGCATTTTTTACCAACTTCCAAAACAATTTTTATTTCCATTAAGATCCATTTTTCCCTGCTTCTTTTAAATCTAATCATTTCCTGCTCTCATTTACTATATTTTGCAATTATACTTTTCTCTATACACAAATATATAAAGATACTGCATGCCTCTCATCCTCAGTTTTTCAAAAACTACTATTTAATACATATTTTTTTCATCCACAGCTTCTTTCACTTCATCATACTTCACGTGTTTCATCATATTAGCATAACTCCACAGATTTATTGGCAAAATAATTATTTTCTGTAAGTAAAGCATAATTTTTTCCTGCAAATCATTTTCATTCAGAATGTTGCATAATTTTTTTCTGAAACTCATCTCCAGTACTTTCATTACCACAATTCAGTGCATAATATACAACCATAACTAATCTATGAAATCCTACTTTTGTATGTACCTGCAACAATCTAGATGACATCACTTCATATTTTCTGACAATTATAGCTATGTTGTTCATAATGAAACCCACACCTTCTCTTTCATACATGTATTTATCAACTTCACATGATCAGATGACCTTCATTCAGATCTTTCATATCCTACTTCTTTTGTCTTAATTTTACTAACACAAAATTTATCTATTCTTCTTTCTTTCATTTGCCGATTCATACTCTTACATATCTTCCAAGTTGCAATCTTCCATATGTCATGTCATAATCAAATACACCCATTTCTACTGACCTCCATTGTCAATCATGGTTTTGGTATCTGTTTGTTGTGGTACATTTTGACCAATACCCTAACGAAAACCCAGGTTTACCCCTATGATATGGAACTAGGATTTCTAATCTAAAGACTATCTTGCAAACTAATATACTATTGCCCATATCTCAACAGCTAGAAGCTAAATGTCGTGTATTGACACATTCAAGACATATTTCAAACTTGTTAAAACTATACATTATATTTCTGTACTAAGTAAACACAAATCAATATATTCAACAATATAATATTGTGTGCAGAGGTCTTGTATATATAATTTTGGTACAACAGAAATTATCTATAAGTAAAATATTTTTGAAATCCAGTTCTAACAATTATTTTGTGTTAAGAAAGAATCATGAAGAAATATACAGTTATTATTATTATTTTTATTACATACTGTATCAAGTTGAAACAAAGATGGGAAAGGATAATTTCTTCAAACAATTTACTTGGAAACAATATACATATTAAACTACTGTATCTGTAACAGAAACAATATGCTGCTTCTCTCAGACAATCAAAGAAATATAGTATGTTCAAAGTGTGAGAAGAAAAAAAATAGCATAACATTTATATTATGGCTGAATGGAAGAAAGTTTCTGATACTAAATCAAGTTATGATGATTATCATCTGATAGATCGGCAGTATTATGTTTGCAGACAAAAATAGTTTAGCAGATGCTATCTTTTCTTTTATCAAAACTGTTTCCTGATATTCTCACTTCGGTCATCCAAAAGAGCTCAGCAGAAAGCCAAAAGCCTCCACTCCCTCAATTTGCATAAGGAGAGTAAATGTAGTATTATTTTGGGTAGTTTAGCAGCTTCCTAAACCCTATGTGACACTGCACAAAGTAGACAATAATAACAAATACATGAAAAATCTGCCACAAGCACTTATCCTAATTCACCTCATATTCCATATCATAATCTATGATACTAATGTAAGAACTGATTTTCATCTTAAACATGCATTTGAAATAACATATTTATTTCAAGCTATCTCAGATTATGTAGAAGTGTAAGATTTATGAAATATGAGTTGAAAGGGGCATTTAGGTCCTGCACCCAATGCCAAATTATAGTGGCCCAGTCAGAACTGTCTAGTCCCTCCTTGAACACAGCCAGCAAAGGTGCTCACGCCTACTTTAGGTAACTGGAAGTTTTTCTAATGTTTTTCTAATGTTCAATCAGAATCTGTCTTTTTTTAATTCTGAATCCATTATTTTTTGTTCTGAACCTGGGAATGATGGAGAATACATTTTGGTTGTCTGTGTGACTTCCTTTTACGTATTTGAACAATGTTATCCCATCCATTCCTACCACCCCCGGCTGTATCAAGACTAAACATTCCAAGTTACTTCAAATCTCTTTTCATAGGACTTAAAGTCATTTCAAGTGAATGGCTTTGCTTTTACTATAAGCTCAGTTAATCCCAAATATAAGAAAAGATGACCTATGTCAAGGTCTTGTAATGAAGTTATACTACAACAAAATATTTTATTACAATTTTATCACTGAAATGTTTTAAAAATTGCTAATCCCTTTACGATTCCTTAACACATAAGATTTCAAATACATTATTGCTATGCTTAGAATTTAAATATATACTTCTTTATGATAGTTACATTTCTGACTGTGGTACAGAATCTATTGATTTGTGTTTATTAAATACAGAAAGTCATCAGAAAATATTTTCTGACTTTTTTCAACTTCCCAGATTTAGGATTTCCTGGTGGTCTCTCATCCAAATATTAACAAGACCTGACCCTGTTTAGCTTTTTGAGATCAGTTGGAGTAGGCTAGATGCTGCCTCCTGCTTTACGTTCCAAAATTATATACAAAGCTACAAAATACAAATATAAGTTAGATCTATTTTCTTAAATAAGCAGGTCTTGAAAGAGTAAACCTTTTACCAAAAATGTAGTATTACACAAGCAGAATCAATAAACTTGCAATACAATTCTATTACAAGTGGATAAAGTTATTCGTGCTAGAACTTGACCTTAGTTATGGCATAATAAATCCTCATTTTTAAAAAATGCATGCTTTCGTGTTACTCTGAAATTTGTTAGATAAGGCCATAACTACATGCATCATATTTTCAAAATTCTAGTGATAGTTCAAAGGGATATTTATAGAAATGTATAAGAGCAACATGACATAGCCATATTTGTTAGGGCTATGCAAAACATTCAAATGAAGCATGTCTCCTCAAATTATTAAAGCAACACTCTTTTGCAAGTGTTGCACAGCTGCTTCCAAAGCTACTTCTAGCTCTACGCATGCACAGCTGCTTTGCTGAGGAGAAAGCACATTGTGAAGCACTTCATTCAAAGGCTTTGTACAGCCCTAACATTTGCCTAGCATGTAATGATCATTAGAAGTGGTCCCTTGAGATCAAACTGCCTTTTACAATGGAATAGATTCTTTTAAATACAGTTCAGAACAGTTAATTATAGCAACTACTGTGTATACTATAATATATATAATCAAAATGAACTTGAATAAAGAACTTATATTTTCTCAAGCTTAGTAAATATCAAAATAAAATGTTACCTGGGCTTGCTGATTCAACTGACGGCTGTCCAAAAGAGAAAAAGAAAATGTTATCAGTAGTAAGAACAATTATAATTTTGAACTTTGTATTTAAATCAAGCATATAATTGTCTAGAAAATGTCTAATGTATGATTTGTTAAGAAAAACCAACATGTCGTGCAAATATCTGCAAGTGAATCATTATTTTTAGCTATAGCTAAAAAAATTAGAAAAAAGAAAAGCTTACAGTTGTACCACATGAAAACTAGCAGCAAAATTGCTGTAGTTGAGCTCTTAAAATATTATTAACCTAAACATTCAAACATACTGAATTGTTAAGAAAACTGAACAGATATTTCAAATTTCTAGTTTTCAAGATTACACATGTGGATATGTGTACGTATAAACAGCTAACTGAAACACAACCCTTGGCCATGTTCACATTTAATATTGTGTGTTATGTCTGGCTTGCCATATTTTATTTTGGTGTTACTTTCTAAGATATTCTTTACCTTATCTACCTTTCATGATGAAAAATCCATGTCTGTCACAAACATTTGTAATTTGTAAAAATTCACCACTTTGAATTTTCACAAATTCCATGAACAATGGAACAAGAAAAAATAACATCTTGAAATGAATATATAGTATTCTTAGCAGTATTATATAGAATGCATATATGGATATAATAAATTATTTGAATAATATTGTTTAATCCAGAATATATAACATATCCATATATGCTTATATTCTGTTCTCTGGTAATTACCAATGATATTTATTTACTGTATTTTTAAACCACTGTAATTTGAATTGACTCCCAGCAGTTTACAAACAATTAAAACCAAGCATACAATAAAATCTACAAATAAAATTGTAATCAATAAATTAATGTAATATAGCAATAAAAATTATACAAAAACAAAATGGATGCCAAGCCCAGTTAATAGCAGCAAAAATTAGATTTCAGAAGCCCTCCAAAAAAGCCATGTCTTCCTAGGCCTATGAAATGACTGGGTGGTATGTGCTGACTGGAACTCTGGTAGAAGGATATTCCATAATTTGAAGGCCACCAAAGAAAAAAATTCTTCTGGCCCCCCAACTCCCTTTATCTCTTATATGTGGGCAACCCTAAGCAACATCTCCCTGGGTAAGTACAGTGGTACCTCGGGATACGAACACCTCTGCTTACGAATTTTTTGAGATACGACCAGCTCCGGCCCCAAAAATTTACCTCGACTTGCGAACTCCACCTCGACTTACGAACCGGATCCGCGGCCATTA